GCTTAGTGCACTATTCTCTACAGTTTGAGCTAAAAGCCCGCTGACTATTAGCTAAGACTATAGAACAGACTCATTATTTTCTCTAAGTGGTCTCACTGCCATTAGATGGGACAGTACACCACACCCAGAAGGTGAGTGTGTTACATTTACTTCAGTGATGCTAGCAGGGATCAAGTTACTTAATACCTTAAATAATTTTTTCCTGGTATGCAACCAGAGCACTGGTTAAGCTACTGGTCATCATTTTTCAATAGGGCCCTCCATCAGCTTTGAAAATTCAGGTCAACTTGTTCTGCACTTGTGGCACCAACAATATCTCCGCTTCTAATTTCATTCCCCAAAAAAGGCAGAGGTTGTGATAGAATTGCTGCTGAAACTCAGTGCTCTGACGTCCTCTCTTCCCCCTCCAGGAGTACAATGATATCATCAACCATGGTGGAGTGGAGCTAGATGTGGTGTAGAGGTATTCACAGGTGTGTGAATGTTGGCCTGCAGAATATCTCTGAATGCAAACCGAGAGTCTTTCATTGTCACTTTCTTTCTTCACAACAAGATGTCCCAGCTAGCCTTTTAGATTCTTACCTGACAAGCTTATTTGTCAACCTTACTGTCAGGTTGCTCTCCTGTCACTTTAACCCTTTGATACACTGGCTTATTCCAATCTTTGACTATTCTATATCTAAAAATTAGGAAAACACAACAGTTTACCTGGGGTGATGAGTGGAAACACAAAATTAGTACATCCTGAATAGTTCTAGACTAACATCAAACTTAATTAAATTCTGCTAAAGGTAATTGAAAACTAAGCTCTATTGCATCATTTTTACATTAGTAAATTTCCTCTTTTATGTTCCTTGATATATGACATGAGAATGTATTCCATAAGCAATGATTGCCTCATAGGGCCTTTACTGTCACTTATACAATTCTGAAATTATGCTGGTCAATGCAATTCCTATAGGTTATGTCTACACTGGCATGATCTTGCACAAGAACTCTTTTGCGGAAAGAGTTCTTGTGCAAAAACTCTTCCAGAAGAAAGTTTCTACACTGGCATGTGCATTTGTGCAAGAGATATGCTTTTGCGCAAGAGCATCCATGCCAGTGTAGACACTCTCTTGCGCAAGAAAGTTCCGATGGCCATTTTAGCCATCAGGCTTTCTTGCGCAAGAAATTCATGTTGCCTGTCTACACTGGCCTCTTGCGCAAGAACAGTTG